CGGGGATACTGTGAGCTGAGCCGCTCACCAGTGGGCGAGTGCTAGGAGAGCATTACCTGCGTTGGAGTTCGGGCACCGAACAGAATGGGTTTTGCTGACCGGTGCGCAATTCCTCCTTTGCCAACAGGGGGCGCGCGCCCGTCTTGCAATAATGACTAAGAACTGCTACCGCTGCTATCTCTAAGATCTACACCTAACCTGAAATTTTTGACTCCGAGTGATTCTCGCACTTGAATTCATTAGCTTACAGGAATACAAGACGAGACAGACGTTTTGTCTTCAGCAGTTATTTTAAGTAGAAATCCAGCTTGTCTTACTGACAAAAACAGCAGACAGCCAAGCGTATGTCAGGGCAGGATTACGTTTCAACTGTTCTCGACCACAAGTCTGTCGCTCGCACCCTACTTCAAGGAACACTGCTGGTTAGACACAGAGAAACCGTTTACCTTTTTCAGATCCCATGTACAGATTCTGTGAAGAAACAGAAAACGCACATTTTCAGAGAACATGTACTCACCAGCATTCCAAGAATGCACAGGATAGTACAATGCTAATGAAGGCTCTAATAATTTAGACATAGACCTGAAACTACAAGTTATTTCTGTTGTTAGAAAACAATAAAAAGACGGCTCAACAGACTTTTGGTCTCTGTTCCTAAACAATCAGAAGTGACAGAAAGGATGCACCACAGCTCACAACATTAAAACGTGCAATATTTACTCAGGAAATGGTTACAAAACAGCGGCACCTAAAACCCATTATAGGATGATAATAAACAGATAAATAATAAACAAAATTGGAGGAGCTTCCACTTACAATAGAGAGCTTCTCAGTTGTTGTGTATCTAGCAAGTATTTCACCACGTTTGCTTGACCACTGTTCAAAGTCACTTCCTAGTGCTGAGCTGTCATCTTTATCCCGTTTCTTTCGTATGCCATCCTATGAGGAGAGCATGAGAGCAGATGTTAAAACCATTTTAACAAACCTAGGGAAAAAAAGAGAAAACTGATAAAGGTTAACTCAACGCTTCAAGTGTTTACTGATCCTTCCACAGTTACCATATTAAAAATATACATCAACATGAAACACAAAGGGAAAAACTTCATTCTATTAGTACAGTATATTCTCCAAGCCTAACATTAAGCTTCTAATTGGTGAGACAAATATTTTCTCCATGGCTGGCTTGGTTGTTTGGCTCCTTTTATTCAGTTAAGTGTCCTACAGTATTACCGTGGAAGCAGTGGTAGCCAAAGGATCTGCAGCCGCTGCAAAGAGTGACAAGGGATCGGTACCATCCAACACACTGCTCAGTGGGTCCATCACAGAACTAGAAGAAGAAGAAGAGGTAGAAGAAGTACTTCCTTTCCGGCTCATCTTCTTGGTCTTGGATTCGGTAACCTGGAAAAGTTCAAAACTTGTCAAAAAAAAAAAAAAAAAAAAAAAAGTCTTCCCCTGTCTTTTAAATGAAGCATTACAGACGACATAAACCATAATAGTGCAAAGGAAGCAAGGACTCATCTACCACAAAGCCTTCAGCATCAGCTACTGCATTAAGTAGAAGCACATTTCTGAATCCAGAGGCACTCTTCACTAGCATTTCCATGACATCTTTTCTTCCAATTCTGAGTCTACAGAACTCTAAGAACACTCATTCTAAATTTATTTCCAGTATCTCTCTTTTAGTTTTTTCCTCTCTCTCTTTCAACTTCTTCCTTGCTATTTCCTGTGTATTGGTTTTGGCTGGGACAGGGTTAATTTTCTGCCTGACAGCTGCTGGTACCTGTGGTGTTTTGGATTTAGGATGAGAAAAACGTTGATAACATGCCAGTGTTTGAGATGGCGCAGAGCCAGGCTTATACTGAGTCAAGGACTTGCCAGCTTTGTGCACTGCCCTGACAGCAAGGAGCTGGGGTGCACAAGAAGCTGGCACAGGACGGGACCAGGGCAGCTGACCCAAAATGGCCAGAGGGATGCCCCAGACTACGTGGTATCAGGCTGAACAACAAAAACTGAGCATACTGCTATCATCTCATTGAAACTGGATATTTTTTTTTGTACACTTATACTTTTAAAAACTTCTCATATATCAAAGTTTAAGTGTTTTACAGCCTACAGCTGACTGGAAGTTCATCCAAAACAAATCTTACATCAAGCCACGATGCAGGTTATTTGTGATGCAATTATTTGATTTCCAACTTATTACTTATTCAGAACTTAACGGAATCAAGAAAACCCAGAGTTGAAATGCTCTATCTATCGGAAAAGGATCATTTTTGACACTCAGCAGTACCAGCAAATGTCTGTAAAGGATGAACAACGGAGTAAACCTGGACACTTCAGTAGCACCACCACCAATTTCAAAGCCTTTTACTTTTAAAAGGAGAAGGAAAACCAGCAGTTTTACTACACGTTTGCCTTCCGAACACACAAAAAGAAACTCACTGTAATGGGTTTCAGTGGATGGTAGTCACCAAAATCCAAGGGCACAGATTCTACTTTGCAGACATCAGATTCTGAAGCATAATTTCTTGACCTGGCATGCCTAAAAAGCCGGATAGAAGGGTGAGTATATACACATACAAATAATCACTTGTGAACAGAGAAGCACGTATTTACATAGATGCACCTACAAAAAGAAATATCCAGTGGAAAAGAAGTCAGAGCGTATACTGCAATTTTTTCTCTTTCTTACATAAACTGAAAGCATTTTCCTCGCAAGCATTCAGTTGCATTCTGCAGATGGGTTCTCTTCTGTTTCAACGAGTGCAGAATGGGCAGTTTAACAGAGCATAACGAGAGGGGCTGATGGAAATCACTGAACACATCTCTTAAACCGAGTGAAGGGAAATGGTAGGTGTGAAAACACAAGGGAAGAAATCTAAGCAGTTGTGCTCATGTACTGTGATCATATACTTACATGGTGGATAAGCTTTGCTTCTCCTATGAAAATTAAGTACGCCATCAAGCGGAAAAAAGAACCATAAAAACATAGATATTTCAATCTGAATTTAAGAGAGTGCCGTGAGAACTATGGTCTCCACGTCTATTAAACAAAACAACTTGATTCCTGAAAACAACATAAATGAAAGTATTTGAGTGAAATCCTGTTGCCACTAGGAACTAGCAGTACGACACACCATTTTTATCAACCGCAGCTTAGGACGCTGCTCTTTTGTAAAACAGAACAACTGCCCTACATTTTTAATTGCTGAAACAGAAATATCTATGTAAGCATGCTTTTAAATTATGTCTGACAAAGTAGGAAGGCAGAAAAGGGAGAATACCACATTTCTATTGCTCTGTCACAGCTCTGCCAGTATTTCCATACCTCTTCTTTATACATTTCTCCCAGTCAATGGTGGAGAAGTAAGCAGCTCACAGCTCACACATGGCACACCATTCCCAGGAGGGTATCAATTGTATTCTCATAGTCACGTAAGGCATCACTGGACAAGCACACACGGCAATGAAGAAAAGCTGCTTCCCCTACAATAGCCCTTTACAAAGTACATTTACAACATGATAAAGTGCTCAGCACAACTGGAACCAGCACAGGGATCAGAGGAGCCTGCTTTCAGCTTTCCAATCTCACTAAACAGCCTCACAACAAACTCCCGCAAGAAAAGAAAAAACACCATTAGCCACACCAAGCTAGGTTTCATTTCTGGTGCACACAACAAGATGCACCTCAGGCGCCAGGCAGATTCCCCAGCAGCTTGGAGTCTTTTTCCATACACAACAATCACTGCATGTGGCATCAATCTCGAGCACCAGCCAGACTGCCAGCCCCCTCCTGCCCAGCAAGAACCTCTCACTTCCCCCCAGCACTGGCATCCTGTAGGCACACAGCCCACCACAGGCTCAGGTTTACAGCCATACTTATTCTGTTTAGTTTCTGTAGGGTCACCAACTACACAGGATCCAACCCCAGTAAACAGCAGAAGTGCTGACGCTCACTTGATGCCTTACAGACACACGTTTTCTTAGCTACAGCAACACAAGTTTTCAGTTACCTGCAGCACAAAGTATTATACATATACACGTATACACACACACACACACCTCATCAGCCCACTAATTACCACTAACTCCGGCATTTTCCTCTGTTCGACTCTGCGTTCAGCCGATGGCTTGTTAATTACACCGTAACTCGGCTGCAGCAGGAGAACAGGTCTTACAAAACAAAACAAAACAACAGCTCGCTAGGAAAGCAGAACAGTTTTGGAGAAGAAAGAAATAACTACAAACATCTTCCCTCACTGCCAGGCAGAGCCCACGTGCCCCAGCCCGGCCCCAGGCCCGCCCTGCGGAGGCCAACAGTGACACTCCCGGGCGCTGCTGTACCTCACCCGCTCCTTCTGAGAGAGCGGCACCAGCCACGGCGCCATCACCGAATCAAGCAAAAAGTGAACCGTCCTCATCTAGCTTTCTTGCTAACCTCGGGAAAATAAAAACCCACAAAGCCGCAGACGACAGCGGCAGGGACGCCCGGCCCCCGCCCACTTTTCTCTTCCCGAGGGCGAGGCGGACGCCGCTCCCCACCGCCCATCCGCGCAAAGGGAGCGTCTCCCGCATCAACGCCGCAGCCCCTGAGCTGCGGGTACGCGGAAGCCGAAGACCGACCCTCACGACTCAGCGGGAGCCCGAAACGCGGGAACCCGAAACGCGGCCCTCCCCCAGCACCACCTCGACGGGACGGCGCTCCGCAGAATGCGGGCCCCAGAGCCTCACCAGGGGAAGGCCGCCATCTTGTCCCAGTCACGTGCGGCCGGTCGTCACGTGCCGGACGTCACGTGACGCCGCCAGGCCGCCACTTCCGCCGCTACTTCCGCCCCGCCTGGGGCTCGGTGCTGATGGGGCTGTGCGGCTGCGGGGAGCGGGGCGCGCAGTGTGCAGTGTGCAGTGTGCAGTGTGCAGTGTGCAGTTATACGGGCTGCTTTAGCGGTACCGATCGGGAGATTAGTTTCTGGACCGACGCGTTATGTTTGCGAAGGCAAGCAGGGAGCGCTGCTTCTAAAACTTGCCGGTTGTGCTCTGCTTGATGTGCAAACAGCCGTGTGTTTCTCAGCTGTCCTGCTTCGCAGAAGCCCTGGGGAGTTGAGATAGACTTTTATCTTTGCATCCACACGAGGACTTTTTTCTTGGGCTTCACGTGGGTTACAGTGCACCAAGATAGAAAGTTGCTCGTTGTGGCAGAACAAGTAGTGGAAATTTGCCAAAAGGGAGAAAAACAGCTCAAGGTCAGGGAAGAAGTCACTGTGATGAAGCTGAAGGAGAAGTACAGCAGGGAAACGGGGCACACAGTTGCTTTGGATGCAGCTGTGCGTGCCCAGAAGGACACGAGCTTGTACTGAGCTCTTGGAAAATGCATGCCAATAGTTACATATCTATGTCTTAATTTTAGGTGTAGAACCTGAACTGCGAGAGCACGTCCTTGATTTATCAAGTTGCCTGGTACATATCGTGAGGAGTAAAGGAACGTTGGTTTTCTAACACCACGTTGAAGTTAGAGAGCTTTCTTCCCATATTTTGCATGACAACATCACGAGGTTGTACATCTTGGAGGAACAGTTAGTTCTTTTCAGAGACTGCATGTTCGTTGTGCAGCGTGTTCAAGCAGAAAACAAGATGGGTAAAAATGAGAATGCAAAAGTAAATGTACTCTTACACTGATGTTACGGTGGCATGCCAAATCAAGTCAGACAATATTAAAGATGTATAAATAAGCATATCAAGAACAGAAGCAGATCTGGCACTTGACAAGAGAAAAGCCTCATGAAGCAACGTAAGGATAAGAACTAGGTTGGATGATCACAGCCAGTTGGCAGTGGCTCTATGTCCAAGTGGGGGCTGGTCACAAGCCGTGTCCCCCATGGGTCCATCTTGGGACCGGTGCTCTTCAACATCTTAATTGTTGACTGTGGCCGAGTCACCAGGTGGGGCAGAACTGCTGCAATGATGGCAGGGAGTGGGGGATGGCTGCAGGACAGGCTGGGCTGTGCCACCGGTTGGACACGGCCAGATGAGGTGATCCCTAGAGGTTCCTTCCGACATCCACCATTCTGTGATTCTGTGATTCTGTGATTCTGTGATTCTGTGATTCTGTGATTCTGTGATTCTGTGATTCTG